CTCCAATGCGGTCCATGAGGGCCTGGTACACTTCTGGGAACTGCTGGAGACTCTCCACCGGGACAGATATGCGCTCATCACATACCGCCCGGAGGATCATCTGTTCCTTGGAGTCCGCCACGTCCTGGACCGGGAGCTGCATCACCTCCGCCGGGGTGTCCGTGAGGAAGGCCCGGGCCGCAAGGACCTTGCCCATGGCCCGGTAGACCAATCGCCACTCCGGTCCTGTCTGCGGAAACGGAAGGCCCTCCTCCTTCAGGAAGCACCGAGCATCTTCCTTCAGGGTCTCCCAGCCTTCCAGGCGGATCTGATTCTGGGCCTTGTTCTTCGGGCCCCGCTGTCTAGGGCCCTGAAGCAGTGGCAGGGACTCCCAGACTCCCCAGAGCTGGCGCAGGGTGAAGCTGTGACCAAACATCCCCAGTAAGCCTGGAAGTGTCCAGGACGAGATCTGGCGCGCCCAGTGGAAGTCCTCATCCGGATCGTGGGGGGCCGCCCAGAAGGATCGCAGGTCCTCGCGGTATGGTCGGTCCCCCGCCTTGGCCTGCTGGTTCAGCTCATCAACGGAGTACCTGGCCCATGGGAGTCCACCCACCTGGTGGTTCCTGGGATGCGTACCCTTTTCCAGCGCCTCCGCATTCACCTTGGTGAGGTTGTTGGCCCAGTCCGGGACGTGTACGGGGCCCGGTCGTCGGACCCAGCGGCCCGCAAAGATACGGACCTCTCCGACCCGTTTGCTCATCATCCAGCGCAGGACCGCGAGCTGCACCTCCGGGTCCTGGGTTGTCAGGGCCCTCGGCACCTGGGCGCGCCGCACCAGAGCCCCCCGCCTTTGGAATGGGGATCCCCGCCAGATCCGGCAGATCTGTCAGGAGAATGGAGGCTTGATGGGCTCGAGCATTCTGGTCTCGAGGGCGCCCTTCGCTTGTCTGGCCTGGTGCTTTGCCTTCGCCTCTTCCGCAGTGGTCTGGGCCTGGAGGAGCTCCGGTGTGGGCCTCCCCCAGTCCGCGCCCAGCTTATCCAGCAGTTTCTCGCGGAAGAGGTCCAAGTCCAAATTCTTGAGGAGTTGGCCCCCATCGCCTCCTCCATCGATGGCCCCTCCTTGAAGCTCGTGGAGGACCGGCGCGGATCGCTCCACCGCTGCCACCTGGTCTGCCTTCTTGGCCTCCTCCTGGGCGATGGTGGTGGCGTTGAGCCGGGTCTGGATTTTGAAGGCCTTCACTGCCGACGGGTGGAAGGCCCTGCATTCCTGGCCCTCTTCCTTGTCGCCCGGCAACGGGGGCCTTTCCCCCATTGGGGCCGTCAGGAAATCCTCGTCCAGCTCCATGGGGCAGTTCCTGATCACCGCCCGGACCGAGGAGGGGACAAAATCCGAGAAGCTGGCCTGGTCCAGGTTCTCGCATGCCATCGGGTCGGTGGCCAGCTCGCTGACATCCACCGAGGCGCTGAGCTTGAGGTCGCGGGCCCGGTCCGTATCAGGGCCATCGGCACCTGCGGACCGGGCCGCCGTCCAGACCGCATTGCCCTGGTCATCCACTGTCAGCTGCCAGTGCGTGCCCGCCATTTCCAGGGTGGCCAAGTTGGTCGCCGTGTCATGGGCTCCGTCTTCTTGCCGCACCCCATACACTTCCTGGCGCCCTTCTTCACCCAGGGCATGGTGCAGCAGGGGCAGATCCAGGATGTGGGCTCCTTACCCAGGGGGCGGTTCTCCAGGCCCCCATACCCCAGGCCAGCGCGCTTGCCAACCTTCTGTCCCGGGGTGCTGAGCAGGGCCTCATGCTCATACTTCATCTTGGCGATGTAGAACGCCTCCACCACGCGCTCCAGGCCCCCCTGCTTGAGTTGGGGGCCCTCAAAGCCTCTCAGGAGCCCCTGGACATCCTTAGCCTGCAGTCGGCGGAGCCTAGTGGCCGTGGTCGCATCAAAACACGGGAAGTCGCCCGCCATCTGGTCCTCACTGAATTGGTAAAGGCCCTCAGAGACTTTGAGGGCCTTGGTGAAGACGCTGCTTTACGGCGGGGGGGCTGTGGGGTCCTCATCCTCCTCCGAGGACGCCGGCTCCCTGACCTTTGCCATCAGGTCATGGCGTCTCTGCCATTTGGTGTCGGACATAGGGGGCTCCTCCTCGTCTTCCGCAAGGAGTTCCTCCATGGGAACATCCGGCTCCGGAGGGTTTAGAAGCTCCAGGAACGCCCCTGGGGGGCGTGTCAGGGCCTTCGGCACCTGCGCCACCCCAGGGGATGAGTCTGCCATCAGCTCGTCCTCTGCCTTGCGCTTGGCTGGGATGAGTGGGGCCTGCTCCAGCTCGTCGGCGCTGGAGAAGAACCGTTCGTCAGGTGCCTGAGGGACCTCAGCAGCCAAGACGGTCCATCCTTCTTCTTCCTTCTTCACGAGGCTTGCCAGGTACTTCGCCATGGAGGCCTTTGCCTTCGCCTTGGCCTCTGCAACCGCGGCACCAGCGTAGGCGGGGGCGTACATGGCTTGGATAGGAGGGGAAAAGAAAGATTTCAGATTTCAAGACAGAAGGGAAGTGCCCACTTGAGCCAAAATGGTGGCCCAAGTGGACACTTACAAAGAGTCAAGACAAGCGACCACCTGCGGTTAACACTTTAGCCCTCCATGGAATGAAGTGGAACAAGCCAAAAACAATGAATGGAATGAATGGAATGAATGAATGGAATGAATGGAATGAATGGAATGAATGGAATGAATGGAATGAATGGAATGAATGGAATGAATGGAATGAATGGAATGAATGGAATGAATGGAATGAATGGAATGAATGGAATGAATGGAATGAATGGAATGAATGGAATGAATGGAATGAATGGAATGAATGGAATGAATGAATGAATGAATGGAATGAATGGAATGAATGAAATGAATGAATGAATGATGAATGAATGATGAATGAATGAATGAATGAATGATGAATGAATGAATGAATGGAATGAATGAATGAATGAATGAATGAATGAATGAATGAATGAATGAATGAATGAATGAATGAATGAATGAATGAATGAATGAATGAAATGAAATGAAATGAAATGAAATGAATCAATGAATCAATGAATCAATGAATCAATGAATCAATGAATGAATGAATGAAAGAATGAATGAATGGATGGATGGATGGATGAATGAATGAATGAATGAATGAATGAATGAATGAATGAATGAATGAATGAATGAATGAATGCATCAATGGAATGGAATGAAATGGAATGAAATGGAATGGAATGGAATGAAATGGAATGAATGAATAAATGAATGAATGAATGAAGGAAGGAAGGAAAAAAGGAAGGAAGGAAGGAAGGAAGGAAGGAAGGAAGGAAGGAAGGAAGGAAGGAAGGAAGGAAGGAAGGAAGGAAGGAAGGAAGGAAGGAAGGAAGGAAGGAAAAAAGGACGGAAGGAAGGAAGGAAGGAAGGAATGCATGAATGAATGCATGAATAAATCAATGGAATGGAATGAAATGGAATGACATGGAATGGAATGGAATGGAATGGAATGAAATTGAATGAAATGGAATGGAAAGAAAAAAAATGGAATGGCGTGGAATGGGAATGGGATGGAATGGAATGGGAATGGGAATCGGAATGGGATGGAATGGAATGGATGGATGAATGGAATGAATGGATGGATGGAAATGACGACTGAAGAGGTGCATGTACGTGTTGTATTTAAACACCTTTTTTTTCTTCCTGCCAGCTTCTGGCAACACATATACATGTACTTGAGAAACATGTTGCGAGTTATACCGTATGAAGAACAGCTTGCAGTGCAATAACTGTTTCACGCAAGCAAAAACCAGCGTGCGTGTTACTGCTTCTGCACGCTCTGGATTTTCCTAGACCAATTTCAGAAAATGTATCAAAATCAGTGACTGTCAAAATCAGTCTGCTTGACACACCAACGTACCAACGATTTGTCTGTTCCAAGGTCAAACATGTTCAACACAAACACAAACAAAAAGTTAAATAAAACCAACATATGATGCTGTGCATCATTGTAGGTATTGCATGGCAAGCAATTTGACAGATCCATATGTCAGAAGCATGCCATATATGAGTCAATGACGTAACGCGACATATATTGGTCGATACATGGTTCATACAGATGTTCAAGAAGTGTATATGGTTCATTGTCCGATGATTTCCCGAATGACGGTCCGGTCATCGAAGCCGGAGACATGCCATTTTGGTTTAACAAAAATCAGGCCACGACTGCAAGAGAAGCTCACAGAAAGGACTTAGGGTCAACCGTGGTGCTTGTGTTTTCTGGACTTTTAGGGTTTCAGGGCGAGTCTGAGGCCTGCGGAACCTCACACAAAACTGGACAGAACCAAAAAGAACAAGAAGACAAAAGACAAGACGGGACAACAACACTCTCCCCTGAAGAAGACAAGCAAATCATGGACTTTTGTTTGGCAGGGGTCTGATTGTGAAATGTTTGGTTTGTTTATTGATTTGTTGGCTCTCTCTTGGTTTTTGTGTTTCTCAGACTCCCGCTGAAAACCCTCCAAATACCCACTTTTTCTAGGCTATTTTTTCAAAAACCTGGGTTTCCATGGTATACACCGCCTTTTTTAGTAGAGGGTCGACATATGCCCGAAAAAAAGAGTGGGTATTGGGTGTAAGGGGCATTTCTCATTCCCCGCATCAAACAAATGTTCTTGATTCTCCTTTTTGTTGTGCGATGTTTTGTGCTTGGTTGATTCGGTGCAGAATGCAGCAAACAAATGCCCGCTCAGAGATCCCTATGGAAAGATGACCGGATTAAGTCAAGGAAAGGAACCTTTGTGGGAAGCTTTTCAACTTGAGTCAGACTTTTTTGGGGGGGTACCTTTTCTTTTGAAGGAAAAAAACAAAAGTAAGTATGGAGTTCCTTTGCTTAATTGGTAACACATTTTTTGACGTTTTTTCAACATGAGTCTGGTTTTGAAGGGAAACCACAAAAAAACGTTGGGAAATGCTGTTGACGAAACCTTCAGCCGGGGCGCAGATCAATGGGCCCAATTGGGCGCGCCAGCAGCGAGGGATCCGGCCTCGTTCCGGCCCTTGCAAATCCCAGGACCAGCCCATGCTGGGTCGTGTGCCATCCCTCCCCTCTGTGATCCTCCCACCAGCTGAACAAAACATTGTCTGCAGCTGAAGCCCCAGATCGATGTCACCGATGCGTAACTACAATAGCAGCAATCCGTTTGCAACGAGACATGCTGAAAGCCGGATCATAGCTTTGGTGGTGGGGACATCCGACATGCGGGCAGACCCATGTTGGTTGACTTGGAACCCATGTTTGGGTTGATAGGAAAATGCGTGGAGCCCCCTTTTTTGTTGGTGGGGTGGGGGGCGGTCGTTCACCATGTTTGGGAACCCACCAAAGGAAAACCAGGAAGGGGGTGCCACTTTGTTCAAAATGGGTGCACACACCACATTGTGTTAGGTGCTCAAAACCCGATCAAGGGTTACCTACATGCCCCTTTCGAACATCACTAGCCGCCATTGCCTAAGTTACGCACTCAAAATTGAGGGTTTGATCTCCCTGTCGAGAAGCCACAAGCCAAGGGGGGCTAAAGCCAGTTGTCAAACCTAAGGGAGGCCTCAAGGGTGCAGGGCAACGTGTGGATTTCCAGTGCATTGGAGTTTACCTTTTGACTTCCATCGGCCAAAACTGGTCGGCACGCCCTTGAAGAGCCTCCATCACAAACAAACCAAAACCCTGTCAGGTCGCAATTTAAATTTGCCCAGCGAGCCCAGACGCAAGGGATTCACGAAATGGTGACCGATTTTCGGACCGGACCAAAAGCGGCACAACATGTCACCAAGATATTCTGGAACCCAAAACACACTTTGAGGTTAACAAAACATCTACAGGTAAGGAAGCTTCAGCCCAGATTAGAAGCGTAGCTGTAGATTCCTCCCTTTCAGGAGAAACCACCAGACAAGGCGATCAAATCCTTCCGTGACCCAACCACCACATACGGGGCCCAATCTTGCCAGTAACCCAAGGGAGCTTTGTACTTGCAAGCATTTGCGAACCACCTACTAAAATTGGAAAGGGGAACTGAAGAAAAAACAATTCTGAGACAAAGCCATCGGTGGGTTCCATGTTTGGACTACAAGTGGCCTTTGAGGAAATTCATCCCTGCGTTTTGGGTAGTCAAAAACTGGGACCCTGACGGGCCCAGCAAAAGGATACATTCGGGCCATCTTGAAAATCACCAAGGAACCACCGCTGTTCCATCGTGCAGCTGATTTTCTGGACATCCTTTTTTGGGTGTTCAACTAACTAATTATGTAAAGTTTTTTGGATAAGGACAGGATCCTACTTTCAAGCTCCCCTTGAATTTTACCAAAGGATTTGAAAACCCGACCAAATTGCACTGCTCCCTTTTCCCCCAGTAAAAACCAACCCCCAAAACACAGCCGCTTGTCCTTTACCTCGCCCTGTAAACCACCCCCAAAACGCCCTCGAGTCTGGGCTCCCCGGCAGGAGCTCCGCACAGGTGGGCCGCTTCAAAGGGTCCCCGAGCGTCAAGGCGTAGCCTGAGCGCGCAGGACCCAAAGGCGCTCGTCCCTGGAGTTGGAGTTGGTGGGAACCCACAGAAAGGACGAAAAGGGCTGGGTTTGAGGGTGGGAGTTGGAGTTTTCTACAAACAACTTCAACTACCCCCAAAAAAAGCGCGAATTCGCTTTTGCCTCAGGGAAATCCACGAAACCTGGGGGAGAAAAGGGAAGCAACCTTTCTTTTGCGGTTTGAAAGGGAAACCAAAAGGAAACCGTTGCCATTTTGGGGGTCCGACTCCTGAAAGACGAACTACCCATTGGTGTTTGGTCAGGTACTTCGCCTCTTTGAAGCTCAAAAAGAAACCCCTACAGCACGAAGCAAGCAAGTGACCGGGTGTCAAATTTAAAAAAGGGGGTCTGGAATGGTTTGCAAAATAAGACGATGGCCATCCTTTGTCGGCTTCCTAGTGGAAAATAACAACATACGTTAAGAGCCATTTAACGCCCAGGTAGCAGATGTGTATGTGCGCGTGTGTCTGTGTGAATATCCTTGCAGTTGGTGTGTTTTAAAGGGCGACATGCGCAACCAAAATGGAAACCGCCCCCATGTTGGAGGATCCCCATCTGGAGACAGACCCAAATCCGACTTTTGCCAGGTAGAACCCGCCTCCTACAATTGCGAATAGGGGTGTGGCGCTGCTCACATGAACAAGGCAAGCAGCCAATAAATTTACAACGTTACTTTCTACCGCACCCTTCAAGCATAATCGACGAAAACCAGCACTTGTCTTAGCGGCATCCCCGGAAAAGAACCATCTGCCATGTAGACACTCCGACATCTGCCAAGCGAAATGATTCGCACCACGTCCAAGATGCCACAGGCTTCCATCCAACGGCTGTGGGTAACAAAAGATGGAACCCCGCGCCCATAACTCATGCAGCTGTCTTGCATAACCTCCACGTTTGCTTTAGAGGCACGCGAGTCACGTTCTAAAATTCATCGGCCTCGAATCAGGAATCCCTAAATCTGGGACCCTCATCTCAGGTGAGCTCGGTTTATCCCCAGGTGAGCTTGCTATAACTAATGCAGACTTCAGCAATGAGAGTGGGCACAAAATGCATCAGAGATGTGTGTGGTATTGCGCGGTTGTGGGTGTGCGGTTTGTCACCGTCACTCTGCGTGATCCACCTTCTTAGCAAATAGGGAAAACCATTGTTGGGGTCCTTCCCCTCGAAAAACGACATGGCCTTATGTCAACCACCCCGTGTTAATCCCACACCCTTGGTTCTAGCCTACTTAATCAAGCAGGTTGAGCATAGGGAGTTGTCTTCCGGCAAACCCCCGCCTGCCGGCTTGTGCGCAATAAAAGCGACAGTCGAAAGCTCCTGGAGGGGATGCCTGTTCACTGTGATCTCCTCATCCTGCCAGGCTCGTTTTTGCCAAGCCTTTTGGGAGAAACATGTTTGACAAGCTAAGAGGAAGCAACGCGAGCTACAGCAGCACATGTTTCTTTCCAAGTTTGGGGCAGTCTCAAACAAGGACCAGTCAGAAACTCAAACATGGAAGTCCGAAGGTGCGTCAGCTGGGTATTCCTCCGACCAAAAACTACGCTGGAACCTTCGGCCCGTCGCATTTCGGGCGCCTCAACACATTTGGGATTGGGGTATGTGTTTTTGCGGGTGCTCTTTTTGGGGTAAAGGGAAACCACTCTCATTTTTGGGGGGGTGCCCCGAGTTTGGCCCATACCCACTTGAAAATATCAAGCAAAACCAAAACACCTAGTCAAGACGTGGCTGAAACTCGTGGCATCCGTGGAAATTGCGATGATTGGACCCGCCTTCACCCAGCGATCCGTCTTCTGGATCCTTCCATCCACCATCACTCTCGACCTGCGGGCCCCTGGGGTCTGATGAGTCTGGGCAATTCAGCTCGGCTCGCTGCGGATTGGTTTCCTGTTGAGTCCCATGAAAAACGATGTTAAAATTCCACGGAAGATGCCCACAAGATACCTTGGGCATTAGTCCAGCGCCCCCGCTCGGTTTAGGGACCGGAACTGGGGCCCCAATCTTGACCCGCAGGGCACAGCCAAATAAGCTCAGGTGATATCCCCAACAGCAAGCGGTGCTCTTTTTAGTGCTCGCACCACCCCGCAGCCCGTGGAACCCTCGTGGAACCCTGGTGGAACCCTGGTGGAAACCTGGTGGAACCCTGGTGGAACCCTGGTGGAACCCTGGTGGAACCCTGGTGGAACCCTGGTGGAACCCTGGTGGAACCTTACCTCAGGGCCGCCCCGGACCACCCCGAGCCTATCTGGGCTGAGACCCCAAAGCTTTCAGCTGTTGGGGAATAACCCAGGAAGAAAACAAGAGAGCGCCAGCCCCCCTTTTGGATGAAGGCAAACCAACCACCTAAGTCATATCATCATAGCTTCAAAACCTGGTATTGCGAGTCTACAGGAAAAACAACAACATTGGAAAGAATCAAAAGGGCGGTTCACCGAGCCTAGCTTTGGTTGGCACTGCCCCCCTGATCCAGGCAAATCGGGTGTCTCCGTAGGATTGGGCCAACCTATTGACACATAACAATGCCCCATGGCCAAAACTCCCAAACTGACCGTGGCCGTGGCTTCCTTACGAACCCTCACTGCCCAAATCCCCTAGGGGAGTCCATCACCAACTAAGAAAAGGAATTGATCTTTTGACTGCGGACAGCCGAGCCCCGCCAACCAATAGATCCAATCGAGGAGATGCTCACCGAAAAGGGTTTCCTTAGGACCTGTTCGAAGGAGGGTTGTTGGATGTTCGACCTACGGTTGGGAAGCAAGATGGATCCACGCTTATCTTCTGTCAATCAACCCTACAGTGTCACATATTAACCCATGGAAACAATACCAGCCAGCCTAACCTGAGAGATTCAAACCAGATTACCCCATATCACCCCCGAGCACCCTGAACATGATGGTCAGTGGCAGCCTCAAAAGCCCAATTCTCCCAAAACCATGCCCGGGATCGAATGCGGCAAGTGCAATATTTCCAGGCAATCCTTCTTTTCGGAAATCCCAAAACCAGAAGCAATGTGGGTTTCTGTGTGTGTTGTTGTTGTTGTTGTTGTTGTTGTTGTTGTTGTTGTTGTTGTTGTTGTTGTTGTTGTTGTTGTTGTTGTTGTTGTTGTTGTTGTTGGTTGTGTTGTTGTTGTTGTTGTTGTTGTTGTTGTTGTTGTTGTTGTTGTTGTTGTTGTTGTTGTTGTTGTTGTTGTTGTTGTTGTTGTTGTTGTTGTTGTTGTTGTTGTTGTTGTTGTTGTTGTTGTTGTTGTTGTTGTTGTTGTTGTTGTTGTTGTTGTTGTTGTTGTTGTTGTTGTTGTTGTTGTTGGGTTGTTGTTGTTGTTGTTGTTGTTGTTGTTGTTGTTGTTGTTGTTGTTGTTGTTGTTGTTGTTGTTGTTGTTGTTGTTTTGTTGTTGTTGTTGTTGTTGTTGTTGTTGTTGTTGTTGTTGTTG